TGCTGATCAGTTTCAGCAGCAGTTGAATTGGGGACGCCTGGGGTTCTTAAGTGGAATCTGTATGTAAGTCGAAACTGGTGTCCAGATTCAGCCGCTGTTGAAACTGATCAGTTTCAGTAGCGGCTGAATCTGGATGCCAGTTCCGACTTACATACAGGTTCAACTTAAGAACAAACTTACAGTCCCTATTTTGTACGTAACCCAGGGACTGCCTGTAATTAATTCTGTAAGCTGGCGACTGAGCTCTTGGAAGAGTATGAATATATTAGACTACTAAATAATTAAATACAAAACATATGTTAAGTTGGCAAAGTTGAGCTCTCAAAAGTTTGAAAATTCTCTCAAAAAATATAGACTGTACTATATAAAGACATTTGAGAGTTCTGTACTCCATGGGCACTTAAATATGGGCACTGAAATTCTGTTTACTGTTTTATGCTCGTGCACAAATTCAATGTAATACTCTAAGTTCATGTGTTCAGTGGAAATTGTGTCTCTATGTATGCACCTGTGTGCATAGACAATGGGCTATTTGCAGGTTATTTTATCTAATGACAAAAATCTGTACAAATGCATGAAATGTCTGTATTTTCAAAATACACATAATGCTGTAATATTGAAGCCAGTTTTTACCAGGTTATATGAAATGTATATTTGAATGAAACAGAAACTCTCTCCCTATTCAAGTTCAGTATATCAGAATGTTATATGTAATAAGAAATACAGTTCTTTCTCTTATATCTTGTGTTCCTTGTGTTTAAGAGTTGTTATGAATTATACTGGCCATGATTGAATTGCTACTGCAAAGAATAGTGGGGATAGTCTTTGACTGTGTATCCAATTTATAAATGCTAAAAGGAAGCAATGCCATTCACTTGTCACTGTATTCATTTGCTCATTGCTAGAGTACATGCTGATGTTTAGTTAAATTTCTATGTAATAATTTACATTTAATCATTTTATAGATCTAAAATATTACATATAATGCTAATAATAAAACAGGAGCAGTTTGGGGAGGAGGAAAGACATTTACTTTTGTAACAAATTAGTTTTTATATTTGATAGGTGATGAGAATAGATGGTACCATAGACAGTTCCCCCTGTTTGAAGGTCACACAAAAGTCCTTTGGCTCACAGAACAGCAAAACCGGCGTCATGTTTTATCGCTTGAGCATGCCTATTGAGTGTGCAGAAGTGTTCTCCAAAACATCAGCAGGAGGGTTGCCAGGCACTGGTCTTTTTGGCCCAAAGAGTGACTTGGAGGATTATGATGCTGATTCTGATTTTGAGGTTCTGATGAAGACAGCTCATGGTCACCTAGTGCCTGATCGGACAGAAAAGGAAAAAGAAGCTACAAAAGTGGAGTTCAATAACCACAAAGATTACACTCAAGAAAAACCTTCACGTCTTAAGCAAAGGTCGGTAACTAGGTTTGATCTGGTTTTGATCTGGTAAAATAGCGACTAGTGCTCAACTGACAGTCTGGACTCCCGGGTTCTATACCCACAGACTAGGTGTGTGGCAATAAGCATATCACTTAATCTCACTGGGTCTTGCTTTCATCATCAGTTATGTAGAAGACACAGAAATCTTTAACTGAAGCCTTCCTCTAAGGCAGTGTTTCCCAATTTTATTTGGCCACGGAACCCCTAGAGTTGCCTTAGAAAATAAAAATGGCCTCTGCCACATTTAACAGGGGGAAGGGGAGTGCCTACTCTTCACGGAACCCTTGCTTTCACTTCATGGATCCCCAGGGTTCCCTGGAGCACCAATTGGGAAACACTGCCCTAAGGGTACTGGGAAGCTAAATACAGTACAGTCTTTTAACATTCTCAGATGAAAAGCATTCTCAAAGTGCCAGAGGGTTTTTTTTTTGGTCCTGTCAAAACCAGGAAATACTAGACATTTCATGAGAAAATTGTACTCTCAAGACTTCTAGCAAAGGCCAAAGATGTTTAGATGAGCTTGGTAAATACCTGAGCTTTCATGGTCTTCTGTGGTGCCCTCATTAACTGAGGCACTATGTTATATATTTATCTTCCTCATTTTCATAGGCAATCAAAATAACTGTTAAACTTCATTTTATGAGGAATAAGGGTTATTTAGGAAAAAGGGTGTTCTCCCGAAATAACCTCATCTACACCGCGTTTTGTATTTCGAAATAGCGCTATTTCAAAATAGAACCATAACGCAATTATGCAAATGAAGTGTGGGATATTTAAGTCCCAGCTTCATTTGCAATTTCGAATGTCTTCATTTGCATCCCTCTCTCGAAAGAGCGTGCAAGTGTAGACATACCCAAATTCTCATTTAAAGTCAGTGGAACTTAGGCTCATAAATGACATTTGAGAAGATGTAAGCCACTATGTCACTTATGCAAGTATGAAAATTATACCCCACGTCATTCTGTATCTTCTGTAAGGGACTTTATTCCAGCCATAGTTAATGTAAAAAATAAACAATTGTATGGACACAACTAAATCTTTTAGGTTACTTTTTATTTTCAGAACTCTTGTGATATCAATGTGATATCACAAGAGATATCACCAGAATTGATATCAGTGGTGATTTTACTTGGTCCTCAGTACTTTTATTTATTACAGATTTATGCTCAGAAGGACAAAGCCAGATTACAGTACAAGCCACTCTGCACGGCTCACGGAGGATGTTCTGGCAGATGACAGAGATGATTATGATTACCTGATGCATACTTCTACGGTATGGCAAAACAGTCTTCATGTTTTTGCTATTTGTTTTTCTAACAATTTACTTTTGCCTCTAGGATAAGAACTTCTGTGGGCAACAGTGTACTGCAAACAGAACAAGGGCAGAATATGGCCCTATTCTGAAACAACTACTCAAGCCCAGAGCTCCTCAAACACAGAGATTTAGAGGGACAACAAATTATGATTCTGATTGAGTGAAAAATGTTGAAATCCCATTGAAATTAAAGGAAGTTCTATGAATTGATCAATAATTTTGTCAGTCCCTTAAATCTGCTCAGTTTACTGTTTCCAGTGTTTGCAAACATAATATACCTGTATAAGTATTAATTCTTTACTCATTGTAATGTGAACATACTGCCAATGTTTCTGCATGTATCTTGTTAAACTAGTAGCACTTTAAAGACTAACAAAACAGATAGATGGTATCATGAGCTTTTGTGGGCACAGCTCACTTCTTCAGATGACCCGAGTATTGGATGTCCAGAACCAAGAATAAATGGGGGGAAGAGGAGGGGAGAAGGAAAAAATATTGGAGGGGGGAGGAGAGAAAAAGAGGCAGTGGGTAGATATGTTTCAAAGGGAAAGCTGAGCCAGTCTGTAACAGGAAAAACTGAAAAACAACAAATAGTCTATTAGCACCTTAAAGACTAGATAGTTTAAAGAGCTGATAAGAACTATTAGTTTTCACTTGAAGAGGAAGAGTACTAACAACAGATTTTATAGAAATATCAAAAACCATTGGCACCTTCATTGTTTGTTTGGTTGATAATGTCCCAGACATCCAATATCGAATTTTAAACCATCTGCATGAAAATTAAACTTGTGAATGAAGTGGAGTTCCAATCCTTCTCTATGTATTTGGCTTGTGGAAACAGCAGCGTAGAGATCCCTTAATGAGTGTCTAGGGAGGTTAAAGTGTTCTCCAACAAGTTTTCATGTGTTCCCTTTTCAGATGTCCTATTTGTGTCCATTAATTCTTTCCCGTAGGGACTGTCCAGTTGGACTATCTCGGCTACCCCTCTGAAGCTTGTTAAACTAGTTATGCATCTTTTTTTAATCCTCCTTGTCTTCCAGTTTACATCAGACCCTCACCCACCTTTTGCAGAACATGTCTTGCTTTGCACTGACATTATTCTTTCATTGATCTACTAATGAATTACTCTTGAATGAGACTATAGCTGTTCACAAAAGCTAATTCATCTCTATTAGATTATGAAAAATACACAGAAATATTTTAAAATAACAAATTCTGAATCAAAACGTTAACATAAACTAAATATTAACACCATGGGATATTGTTAATTTATTGGCAGTATTATTACGCGGTGAGAATATTTCCTGGGCAAGAACCTGCTAATGTCTGGGTGGGCTGGATTACGTCTGACTTCCATCAATACGACATGACCTTTGACTTGGACAGAGTGCGCACTGTTACAGTGACACTAGGGGATGAAAAAGGAAAGGTTCATGAAAGGTTGGCTTCAGTTACTTTTCTTTTTAATTGAATTGTTTTATACTTCATATGTTTTAACATGTAGAACCTATATAAATTCAGATGAATGTGGAGTTTTACTGATATAGGATAGGTATTATAGAGGAGAATCAGGTCCCTAAATGTTGAAGGTTCACCCAATGAAATTAATAGAGATCAGATTTACACAACGGAAGTACTTCTTCACACAATGCACAGTCAATCTGTGGAACTCATTGCCAGGGGATATTGTAAAGGCCAAAAGTATAATTGGTTTCAAAAAAGATTTATATAAATTCATGGATGACAGGTCACTTAGTGGCTATTAGCCAAGAATGTGAGGGACACAACCCCATGCTCTGGATGTTCCTAGCCTCTGATTTCCGGAAGCTGGAAGTAGATGACAGGAGAAGGATAACTTGAAGATTGTGTCTTCTGTTCATTGCCTCTGAAGCAGCTGGCATTGGCCAATTTTGGAAGATGGGGTACTGAGTGAGATCAGTGGCTCTCATGGGGGGGATGCAAAGGTCTCTCGGGGGTATATTAACTCATCTAGATATTTGCCTAGTTTTATAGTAAGCTACATAAAAAGCACACCAAAGTCAGCACAAATTAAAATCTCACACAGACAATTACTTGATTAATTCATTCTCTATACTATGCACTGAAATATAAGTACAATATCAGAATCAGTAAGTTCAGGGCTGCATAAAAACAAATGATTTATAAGGTTAGCCACTTGTATCTTTCTTGTCTGGTTCATGTAAAGGTTTGGGCTAGTTCTTGTTTTGTTGGAAATAGTTCCATCTTTACAAAACTTTGGCAAATCCATGGTGTGAAATTGTGATAATTTGAATAAACAGACTATTCCAATACAGTATGATCCCATACAAGCTCACATGCTACCCACAAATGTATGTCTTGATATTTAGTATTAAACGCAGCAACTGCTATATGGTGTGCGCCGGAGAGAGCATGAGCCCAGGACAAGGGCGCAACAACAACGGGCTGGAGATTGGCTGTGTGGTCGATGCTGCCAGTGGGTTGCTAACCTTCACTGCTAATGGCAAGGAACTGAGTACCTATTATCAGGTATGTATTTATTTGGTTTTGTCACCTCATCCATATGAGAAAAGCAAGTAGATTGAATTTTGTTAGCCTTATTTATGATTAGAAATGAAAGGAAAAGTCATTGCCAATGATGTGATTGTAATCTTCTCTCACCTCTGAACCTTAGTTAGGCTCTTGTACAGTTTCACGTGGTAGTTTGTGCCTATAAGCAGTTATCACAAGTGATAGATTTCTTAGCATTGGTGGTTTTTCTATGTTTGGTCACTGTGTATTTCTGTTTGTCATTCAGGTTGAACCAAGTACTAAGTTATTTCCTGCAGTTTTTGCACAAGCTACAAGTCCAAATGTTTTCCAGTTTGAGTTGGGAAGGATAAAGGTAAATAAGAGAACACTCATTTGTTTCTCTGTAAGTTTAGTTGTTATATCCGATAATACTCAATTATTGCTCTTTTGTTGAATGAAGCATGTTTTTGGTTTTGGGCATATTTTTGTTGGTGCAATTGTGTAATATGGCATTTTGTAAATCACATATTTTGGTACCGTTTGTACCTCCCATGTCCATCACCTGCAGGACCTGACTAGTCCCAAATCAGGGAATCTGCCAGATGAGGAGAGAAAAATGCCAGCCCCTCTGCTGTTGTTGGCTGCAGGGCTTTGTTCCAGCATCAGGAGAGGGGCTGGCTTTGGCCAAGCAGGGAATTGAGGGGAGGATATTCAGGAAGAGGCAAGGCAACTGTGGATCCCCATGGCTGGGGCAGCACTTCTGGCCCCCCGTCAAGGTGTTTCCCACTTTGGCACTTCAAGTGCAGAAGGTGGGGGCTTGCAAGAGTCCTTAAAACTATCTTTCCACGAAAGTCTTCGGCTTAAAAAACCTCCCAAAATCACAGATTGCATAACCTTGGGTGGTACACTGCTACCACCCAAATGCAAAATCCCCTTGAAAGCCAGAAAGACACACTTCAGAATTTTTTCCTGTAGTATAACCACAAGCTCTTTAACCCTCCCTCAGGAGAGAGCTTGAAAACAAACTGTAATCCCTTAATAGCTGACTTTCAGTATCAGGCACGTGCACACATAACCTCCTGCCATTTAGGACACAGGAATCAGATTATAGTCTTAAAATGATGATTGTATTAACAAAACAAAGAAGGTATATTTGGTACAGCATACTTGGTTGTTAGGTGTTACAGAGCAACTAAAAAAAACAGATTAAAGAATAGAGAATTGCTTCCCTGTAATTCAGTTTGTTACAATACACATGGGGGTGTTAAAATCAGTACAGAGAAATCCCACAAATCAAGAAATAAGAAATACAACAACCCTGGATCACATCTAACTATACATTCCCTTTCTACCTAAATCTTTTGTTCCAAGGTTCCTTCCTTTCTATACATGAATATTGCTGAAAATTCCATGTCTGGTTCCAAGACTTACTTCATCTCTATCTCCCAGCTCCTGCTCTTCTCTCACACACAAAAGGAGACTGAAGCAGGCAAAACCTGTTTCATTTCAAATTTCTCATTCTCTTTCCATTGGCTCTCCTGGCTCCCTGCCAATATTCCTTGGTTAGCCATTATTCTGGGTTTAACTCTTTACAGGCAATTTAGTTACTGAATGCTGGGATATCTAGAAAAAGGGTATTATCCCTTCCATCTATTGCACCCCCACTGCCAGCCATGGCCCTTGGCAGCCAGACTGCACTACTGGCCCCCATGAAGCTGAATTCCTGGCTCCCGGATGCAGGGTTGTCCTCCTGGATCCTATGGGGCTGCACAGCCACCTTATCTCTTCTCCTCTGAGTGTCTCCTCTGTCTCCACTCCTCTCTCTCCTTCAGCTTGAGCACCACAAATGACCTATTTCCAGCACTCCAGAAGCTCTGAGAAGGCAGGGGAAGGAGTTGCTGAATGTGAGGCTGGCTTTTCCCCATGCGTGCTTAGAGGTTAAAGGATAAAATGATTTGATAGGATTCCATCTAAGAAGTTAAATGTTTCCAAACTGTAAATGCAATATTTAATTCATATGCTTCTCGCCCTTCATGCTGTTTGTTATGCAGTGCATAAAATGACCTAGATTAATTTTGAAATATGCACGATATATTCATCAGATCATATTATGTCTTCTCTGAAGCCATCATATGATCAGATCATATTATGTCTTCTCTGAAGACATACCTTATATGGTATGAACATATAAGGTAATCACAGCTAAAACGAATGTAAACATTGTGGAAGAATTTCAGCCTTTTTTGAAAAGATTTTAAAATAACATTCTTGAAGAGTGACTGCACGAAGGGCTATTCACATGGTGAAAGAGACTGTATGCTCATTTTCCCTGTCACTACTGCAAATCTAGTCAATTTCTATAACTCATTATTTCATTCTGTAAACCTAGTTATATTGTGTCATTGTGTAGTGAAGAACAGTTCCAATGATTATATACATATTTATATTTGTATACATTCAGTGAAAGCTTTACTATCCGGCACTCTCTTAATCAGAAAACTTTGTTAACTGGTATTGCCCCCAGCCACAATAACACCGCATCTTCAGGAACATGTGCCTGACTCATGCCTGTCTAGCTTGCTGTTGTAGGGCTCTTGACTGCTGAATGACATCATCAGCAGGCACTTCCTTCCCCCTCAGCCTGCCTCAAGCTGCTGGGAAGCCAGATCTGCTGGTAGGGAATATGGGCAGAGCAATAAGTATCTATCACATTGAATTAACCGGCAATCCCCATTCCTCATGAGTACCGGCTAAGAAAGCTTTCACTGTATTTACTGTGTGTATTGGCTGAATTTTAATAATGTGGGATATTTAGTACTAGACTGAGGCTAGCAACAAAGACTGAAAAGTGATTTTTTTGTAATAAGAGAGTGGCAAGCCCCCTGGGACAGGGACTGCCACTTGTGTTTTTTTACAGCCAAGGGTTAGGGGAAGGGGCTGATCCTGACCCAGAGCTCTTGGTTTTGTTACAATATAAAGAACTAATATTGATAATACATACTAGGGGGCTGTGCCCCTTGCTCACTATACTCACCAGCCCCCTCTCTTTGCGGGTAGGCAGCCCCGGCTCTCCCCCAGCCACCAGAGAGGGCCAGCCCAAGGTGTGGCAGCCTTGGCCACTGGGGGCGGTGCTGAGTCTGGGCCAGCCATGGCTCTCCCCCATACCTCCCAGCCACTGGGGAAGACCAAGGCCATGCCAGCTCCAGCTCGCCTCCTTCAACCCTTCTCCCCAGCTATGCCAGCCCCAGCTCTACCTCCTTCCCCCCACCTGGCGGGGGGGCAGGGAGCAGGGCTGGTCAGAAGCCTTGCCAGGCCCCATGCTTTCCCCCGGCTGCCGGGTGGGAGGGCCGAAACCATTGTGTAGCAGCCCCAGAACCCACTCCAGCACCGGAGAGGAGGGAGGCCACAATGCGGCATCATCGGCTCCGGAGCACTGGAGAAAGGGAAGGGACGAGGGAGGGAGGAAAGGAGAGAGGAGGCAGGTGGGATGCAGAGTGGTGTGATGATGTCACTCTGTCATCCTGCAGGAATTAAAAAAAAAAAAATAGAGAGAGAGAGATAATATCAAGAATCAATTCAAATGCATACTTATAGGTAAAAAGTTTAAAATTTAATTTTTAAATATATCCAATGCATGTAGTATTATGAAAAGGATTGCAGCCTAGAAGAAATAACAGAATTTTTAAGGCTCCAAGGAAGCTGAAATTATGTCCATATAGAACAGAATGGGCTTCAGTTTTCAAGGATATACTCAAACTGCTTGCATCTAGTGAACTTGAACTCCGTCTTGGAAGAATGGAGGCCTGGGGTTACCAAAGGAGTGAAGGATTATTAGAATTCATATCTCTAGTTTCAAGGCAGCTAGATACTAAACTTCTAAGACATCCCCTTAGGCAACCTCTATTTAGGATTTTATATTTTGCTTTGAGAGCCTCTAAGCTAAGTAATAGTTCCCAGCCTGATTGGGGAGCTGCTTAAAATGCTACATGCCTTCTGTATTGTGCTGGTTTCATTGCATGGATTTCCTATCTGCTTGCAGCACATTTGCCTTGCACACTATCATACACCTCATTCCCCTATAGAGATTATAAAACTGACTGTCTCTTCTGTCTTATTGTCTCCAGAATGTAATGCCATTGTCTGCTGGCTTGTTCAAAAGTGAGCACAAAAATCCAGTCCCCCAGTGCCCTCCCCGTCTCCATCTCCAGTTTTTGACCCACGTGTTATGGAGCAGAATGCCAAACCACTTTCTGAAGGTTGATATCTCACGGGTCAGTGATCGTCAAGGCTGGATGGTACAGTGCTTGGATCCTTTGCAGTTCATGTCCCTCCATATCCCAGAAGAAAACAGGTTAGCTTTGTTTGTATGTATAAACTGAGTGTGAGTAGATGTGGGTTTTATGAAGTCTGACCAATAGCAAGTAAACAATCTGTTCTATAGTCGGTACTCTTTCTCTCTTGCATGTGTATAAAACATACAAATACATCTATTGTGACTGTCAGATTAAAGATGACCCCTTTTGTGGGTCATATTTATATTCAGTTAGTAAATTATTACCTAGGTCACATAAACATAATCACTGGTTTTATTAAACTGCTACTAAGTGTGTTCAATAAGAGATTTCTTGAGTTAAAAAGACATTGCCAATTAGCATTTATGACAGAATTGGGTTTTTTTCCTCCTCCGAGAGAAGCACGTCTGTGAGTGTCACTTCTACACAGAGATACAAACAATGCATGCCAGATTTTGTTTTGTGTATTATTTTGCTGAAAGGGGAAATATATACTTAGCTACTGGTAACATCTTGAATCTAATCCTTCAAAAACATTAGATAGATCAAAAGGATGAGTGAGGCAAGGGAAACTCAGCTGTAGCTTGTGATTGTGTACAAGGTCTTTCAACCTTTTTTGCCATCTATTAATTAACTGTGATTTTTGTTAGCAATAATCAAACAACTCTGATATGCTGTGTACCTCATGGATCTTCAAAACCCAATCTCAGTAGAATAAACTGACTGTGATTTGGTATATTTAACATACATTGTCTTCAGACCTATTCATGGGATAGGTGTGAAGAATGAAAAATTAATGTACTGTGGGCCCGTATGCAAAACCTAAATATCTCATGCAGCTTTAGTATATGTTTTAGAAAAAATACTGTGAGTTAAATCCAGCTACTCCTTCCATGGCTATGAAGGGCCTTAGAGGGAGTGGAACTGATTTGTTTCCACAGTGCAGGAAGCATGTCAGGACTTGGGGAGCTAGTGAGGAGTAGCCACACTCCCTGTGTGCCAGGGGGACTAGCTCAGATACCAATCAAGTTTGAGGACAAGGCCATGCTGGCAGAAGAGCAGCGTTTCTCTTTTTCCCCCTATTAAAACTACCCATGCATTTCAGACTGCTTTGTCTTGGCACTGAGAGGACGATTTAGCTCTAAGATTTAGCTTGTATTAGGATCTAATTTCACTTTAAAAAAAGTACAGATGAGAGCAAGAGGTATTCATAAATTAGATTGTTTTTAAATCTCCATTGCTGTTGTGTTTCAAAGCTGAAAGACGCTACAAACTATTCCTCAATTCCAAAGCACGTATATTTCATTTGTTTTTGTTTTTTAAAAAAGAAAATTGGAAAACCCTAAATTTATATTATAAAAACCACTAACATTATTTTTTTTAATAAAAGCGTTTACAAAATCTGTAACAATTGAAACATTTTCTGTTGTGTTATTAAAGTTAAATTCTGAAGAAAATACTTAAATACAATTTCAAACAGTGTAATGCATTCCCCAACATATTTTGACCCAAATATTGTAGCATTGTGCTATGTATAAGAATGTGAAAGATAATTGCTTAGAAAATTACAATAATGATGAGAGACCAAAAGTGAAAGTGACTAGTCCATTTTCATTGTCCAACCTGAAATAGAAAGTAAAATAGTAGCATTAATAGTGAAAATAAAATATGAATGTTAAGTCTTTATGTTCTCAAATACCTAATTTTTTTCTCTAATCTATATCCAAATTTGGCTTAAATACATTTGTTATAAATAAATCAGTCTGATATTGCTCCCACTTGAACACTATTGGAATTTTTGAAATGATAGTTTTTATTCAGTCTAAAGGACTTCAGGGTTTGGCTCATGATTTGTAAGCCAACAGTTTGTCTATAAAATTGCAAAATTAAATACCTGAAAGTCAGGAAGTCAAAAATTCCATGTCCAGAGCATAGGCTAATATGTCCATGTTGCACAACCTAAGAATGTTTGAATAACTTTTTTGCCTTTTCAATCCTATGTTCCTAGTTAGTGCACTGATATAGAACTTTCTGTGTTTTCCTTCTGCTCTACAGGTCTGTAGATATTTTAGAATTGACAGAACAAGAAGAATTGCTGAAATTTCACTATCATACCCTCCGATTGTATTCAGCCGTTTGTGCTCTAGGAAACAACCGGGTGGCACACGCTATGTGTAGCCATGTGGATGAATCTCAGCTTCTCTATGCCATTGAGAACAAGTACATGCCAGGCTTACTGCGCACAGGCTACTATGACTTACTCATTGACATCCACCTCAGCACTTACGCCACTGCCAGGTTAATGATGAATAGTGAATTTATTGTTCCAATGACGGATGAGACAAAGAGCATTACTCTTTTCCCTGATGAGAACAAAAAACATGGCCTCCCTGGCATAGGTCTCAGTACCTCACTGCGACCTAGAATCCAGTTCTCCTCTCCCAGCTTTGTAAGCATTAGCAGTGAGTGCTATCAGTTTAGCCCTGAATTTCCTCTGGATATCTTAAAGGCCAAAACTATAGAGATGCTAACTGAGGCTGTTCAGGAAGGTAACCTCCATGTCCGAGATCCTGTAGGGGGTACTACAGAGTTTCTCTTTGTCCCTCTCATCAAGCTTTTTTACACCTTGCTAATCATGGGAGTCTTTCATAATGGGGATCTGAAGCACATCTTGCAGCTGATTGAGCCCAGTGTTTTCAAGGAAGCCATGAGCCAGGAGGAGAAGAATGAAGTGCCAGAGAAGGAGTTGAGTACAGAGGAGGTAAAGCCAGAAGGAGGAGAGGAAGAAATCAAAGGGAGGCGAGTGCTGAAGGAAGGTCTTCTTCAAATGAAACTTCCTGAACCAGTAAAATTGCAGGTAATAATTGTGAAACTATAAGGGTTTTTCAAACATTTCATACTTCATTCTTCCTTTCATTCACATATTTCAGGAAATGCAGCAGCCTTGCTGCATATTTCAAGCAAAGCACACTTTTTTTGCAGGCACACATGCATGTTTAATGCTTTTTAACATTATGTTTTAAAAATATAATCACTATTAATGAAATTATTCTGCATTATCCCCTTTTTTACCCATTTGATAACAGTGGCCTTGGTGAAAAGTCTGAGGGGTAACCATGTTAGTCTATATCCGCAAAAACAATGAGGAGTCGTATGGCAACTTAGAGACTGGCAGATTTATTAGGGTGTATGCTTTCATGGAGAAAACCCACTTAATCAGAATAATTGGAAGTTACAGAATTGGTTTGTGTTAATGAAGCTAATCAAGTCAGGATGGAAAAATGGGTCATTCACAGCATTTGATATGGAGATGTGAATATCCAGAGAGGGGAAATTGCCTTTGTAATTCATTAACTAGTTGAGATCCTTATTCCATCCTCAATTGAAAGTGCTGAATTTGCAAATGAATTCCAGGTCAGCTGTCTCCCTTTGTAACCAGTTTTTGAAATTCTTTTGTAGAAGGTTGACCACTTTCAAATCCATTATTGAATGTCCAGGGAGGTTAAAGTGTTCCCCTACAGGTTTATGTGTGTTACCATTGTGAGGCCTGTTTCAAACTAAATCTGACATAAATAAAATGTAATTTGATACATGGGCATCTGGTAGCCTCTGTGGAGGAAGGCTTTTCCTTTCCAAACTGCCAGGCATAGCTCTGCCCATACTCTGCTCCCACAACACCTACTGTAGGCATTCTGGGGTGGAGTGTTGCTGCCTCCAGTACCTACCTACCCTCCTGGTGCTCCAGGACTGGGGCTGCACGGTGCACCCTTCTCTCTCCCCTGTGCTCCCCGACTGGGCTGCGTGGTGGGCCCTCCTCCCTCCCATGATGCCCCGGGGCTGGACAGTTTGGGCCATGTGGTCACCCTCTTCCCTCCCTCGATGCTCTGGGGCTGGAGAGGCTGGGCTTCGTGGTGTACCCTTCTCCCTCCCCTGGTGCTCCCAAGCTGGGGTCATGCCACATACCCTCCTCCCTCACTGGTGCCCTGGGGCAAGAGAGGTTGGAGCGAGTGTGCACCCTCCCACTTATCTCTCCTCCCTGTGGTGGTGGAAGCCTGCATGACATACTGCCTTACCTCCCCATGGGGGTGGGAACGGGTGGCACCTGAGGGGAAGGGGTGGAGCTGGGGGCTTGCCTCCCCCAGCCCTACCTTCATCAACCTCCCATGATTCGATAGGAAATATTTTCTGAATAAAGAATTGTTTTATACACTGAGAAGCAATGACTTCTATGTAAGTGACTTACCATCACAATGTCATCACAGTTATTAATTTTCTTTTGCATAATGAAGATACAAAGCTGAATTAAGTCAGTGTTCAATTATAAACTTTTGAAAGCACAAAGATAAGGTTATGTCCAACATTATGAACATTTCAGAGTTACAAGTTACCTCCATTCCTAAGGTGTTCGTAAATCTGAGGTGTACTGTGATGAAGATATTTAAAAATAGAGTTTAGATGTAGAAATGACAGCTCACAGGAAAAAATATTGCAAGGTATAATCCTGTAGTGTTGGGGGATACACTGGGTGATTGGATAAGTCTTTACTGTGATGATTGCTTGTGATTCTGTGTTATAGTGTGTGAACTTCTTTCTTTGAATCTTCTGTGCTGTGAGCAAGAAATGTTACAAAAAGACAGCAGAATTTTCAGCAGTGTTGGCATGAGCTCTCACTTGCATTTAAAACATTTAATCAGGTACAAAAAACAAAAACAAAAAACCCCAGAAATGTGTCTTAATGTAAGTTTGAGCTGCACTATGATTGTTGGTTGGGTATAATGAGGCTGTTTTCTGGTAGTCTACTGTGGCATTAAACTGCTAATAAAATGGTATTATTAGTAACCATCAGCCTAGCAACTGCTGTGTTATATGCTCAGAGTCAGCTTCTAAAAAGGTACTAATTTAATAGAGCATTCTGCAGCTTTCTGGTGCAGATGCAAAAGATGACCCACAGGAAATAAGGTATGTCTACACTACCACTCTAGTTCGAACTAGGGTGGTAATGTAGGCAACCGGAGTTGCAAATGAAGCCCTGGATTTGAATTTCCAGCCGCGCGGCACGGAGTCCGCACTAGCGGATATTTAAAAATGGCGGCGCCTGGCGAGATGCAAATGAAGCCCGGGAAATTCAAATCCCGGGCTTCATTTGCAACTCCAGTTGCCTACATTACCACCCTAGTTCGAACTAGAGTGGTAGTGTAGACATACCCATAGAGACTAAGAGCAAGGGCCCAAACAGCTAGTTAGTGCACAGCAGCCCAGTGCATTATAGTCACACATCAACTTTAAAGTGCTTTAAAGTGCTGGATAGACAAGGTCTACATCTATATTATCATCTAATTCCCACGTTCTTAGATATGTTTCTGAGGTAGATAGATCTCCGGCAAGCAGTAATTTATAGGCCCTAATACTAACTCAAGCATGGCTATACCACAGATTACTGTCAATTCATCTGATAACAGGTTCTGCTTTATTGTTTGACATCTACAGCATCCACACTCAGTTGTATGTTAACAGAATATGTAAAGAATATTTTTAAAAATTGTCTAAAAGTCTTCGTTGCCCTTTTTCTGGTATTTTCTTAGATGTGTTACCTACTCCAGTACCTCTGTAACTGCCAGATACGTCACCGAATAGAAGCCATTGTAGCATTTTCTGATGATTTTGTGGCTAAGCTTCAAGAGAATCAGCGATTCCGATATAATGAAGTTATGCAGGCATTAAATATGTCAGCTGCACTGACGGCCAGAAAAACAAAAGAGTTTCGGTCTCCACCTCAAGAGCAGGTACAACTTAAAATGGGCAGTTATTCTTTTTTTTCAGACAGCAAATGTAGGATCTCAGCTCAGTCCGAGTGCTGTGTTCTAACACTCAAATTTTTCATTCTGTTCTTACTCTTCTCTGTGCTGATCTGCTAAACTTACATGATCTGCAATATTCAGTGCGGTCAAGGACAGTCAGGTTTCACATTGTACAGTCAGCCCAAAGGTTCATACTAGATGACATCACACGTGACATCGCTGGATGCTGTGTTAAACTTGATAATCTTATCTACACTGAGTAATATGTTGTGTTCATTTATATGTATTAGCTAACCTTGTCTAGTGCTATGTAATTTTCTAGCATAGACAAGTTTTTAGAACACAGCCGTGCCATGCTCTTATGTCTTATGTGTACAATACCATATTAGGAAAGTAGATTTAGTTCTCTAATCAGGTTCTGTAGTAATAAAAACATTGCACAGGTATACATTTCAGGATTTCAGAATGTTTTATATTCACTCATTAAATCTTACTATACCCTTTTAAACTTATTTTAAACAAAGAGAAATTAGATAGTTAGATCAAGTGACTTGACCAAAGTAATAAAGTAAATTAGTGGCAGAATTGGAAATAGTACCTAGGACTCCTGATTCCTATCCTTTGCTATAGCCACCACTTCATATTGTTGCTAATTTATTATTATTTTTACCTACTCTATATAAATGCCTGACTTTTTTTTCATTCAGTAACTACAGCTCTTCCGGTATTCATGTGTTTCAGTTTTGCTAAATAATTTCTATAATAATAAAAGTCATCAAATTTTTTATCTGTACATATTTATGGAGATAATGAGCAAAAAGAAATTCAATATTTGCATATTAACTATGAACCTTGTGGATACTTTGATGATTTTCTAAGTAAATATTTGGATTCCTGGCATCCTTAGCTATATGTATTCCCGCCTACCTTACTGAAAAGTGTTCAAAAAGATGTTCCCAATCTTTAAACTGTCTTTTGTATTCTTTTTTTTTTTTAAGATTAACATGCTCCTGAATTTTAAGGATGATAAAAGTGATTGTCCTTGCTCTGAAGAAATTAGAGATCAACTCTTGGAGTTCCATGGAGACTTAATGACACATTGTGGTAAATCCTGTTTTTGAATTTTCTTGTTTCTGAATTTGCAGTAGCCAGATTCAATAACTTTATCAAAACCAAACTACACATTAAATTATGTCAGCAACAGGTGGCTAGACAATACACAGGGAGGTATGGATTGTAATCAGTCATTATATTACAAGTGCACCCTCTCATCTGATCAAAATACAAGAAAATACATTACAGTTTGTTTGATGGAGAAATTTCATTCCCCCCATACGAGGTCCATGTAAATGGAACTTGTGTGATACTCCTTAGAGATTAGTGAATAAAATCTAGTTCCCATGGGAAGCTTTATAGCTTTTCATTCCAGATCTAGGGCTAAAATAGCAGCTGGTGCTCTTCTTTTCCCTCTCAAACCATAGATAAACTACTCTTATTTACCAATAGGTGAATTTCACTCTATCAGAATAACTGTGGTTTGATTAACCACAATAATATAGATGATGGTTATAGTTCAGCTGTTCCTGTTTTTAAGTATAAATGGAAAGACATAATAGTTCATATACAGAAACTTGGGGATGTGTGGTCTTGTTGATGGCAGACAGGAAAAAAATAGTATTTAAACTCAGTCCAGATATTTTTGTTACATTAATTACATTAGGTGCAACCTTCTCTCTGATGCCTAAATGTTGGAAATTGTAAGAAAAAAAAGTAAATGAAAAAAACAACAACCCCACACCAAAATAGAAATGTTAAACAAGAACCTGTGGACACTGCAGATCCTGTTCCTTTTGTTCAAATTTTGCTTCAAAGCTGTGGATAATCACCTCTTCTCTGTCGTAAATTATTTATGTCCCAACTATAAATCTTTTGGGGTACATCTACACAGCAGCATTATTTTGGAATAACTGGCGTTATTCTGAAATAACATAGTGCGCGTCTAGACTACAAGCCTTTATTTCTAAATAATGGCAAGCTTGATGACTTCTTATTCTGACTCCTGTAACCCTCATTTTATGAGGAGTAAGGGAAGTTAAAGGAATAGTGTTCTTCCTCTGGCTTCCTGCTGTGTAGACAAAAGCCGAATTAAGCTATTTCAACTTAAGCTATGCAATTGAGGTAGCTGAAGTTGCGTAGCTTAATTCGAGTTTTGCATTGCCATGTAGACGTGCCCTTTTAGAAAACAGGAAATGTTAGCTTCTCTATTTGTGAAAAGGCCCACTAGCTGACAACCAGCAAAGTTTAACTGCTCCACATATACATTCTCCCTCCACTTCACAGAGAAAGCTGGAGCGGAGTCAAGTTATTTTTTCTCTCTAGATCAGGCCCTTCTCTCGAAAGAGGCTCTCTAACTAAGGCCTTTGTATTTATCTAGAACCCTTTTGATTTTTTGCCTTGCTTTCCTTCCAGGATTGGGTCTTAAACAGGAGAGATTATTTAAGGACTCATGTTGATATTATGATACTTTATATTAAATATTCCAATTTAAAATGGTAAACAAAAGCTCCAAAAACAAAAGCTGTACAGAAGCAAATGAAAAGAGGGATTATTTTAGGGCTGAGTATATGGATTTAAGCTCCCTTGGTACAGCTACTGCAAAAACAAGCTAATAGATTATGCAGTTCAAAGTGTTTGGTTACTAATTACTGTCAGTCAGTCATAATTTTGGAATTTGTATGCTGTGCACTGGTTAAGAAGTCATTGTTTTGATATTCAGCAACTCAGACATCCAAAACTAGCATTTTTTGCACCAGTAGCTATATATTCCTGTTCTCTAATTGGACAGGAGTATTCAATTACTTTATTGTTAATTACTTAAATTTAAAGCCATTTCCATCAATCAGACTGCAGTTTCCATACAAGCTAGTTAATAATTCAGTGTAAAATATGTTATCGATGACTAGGGCTACAAATCTGTCACAGAGGTCGCAGAAGTCACAGATTTTAATACTTTCTGCAATCTCCGTGATTTCTGTAGTGGTTGCTGTGGTTGACCCAGGCTGCTCCTGTGCCCCCAGGGACAGCCATATTGGCTGCTACTGGAGCGGCTCCACAGCCAGAGACGCAATGGCCACGGCTTGACAGCCCCCAGCATCTGTCCTCAGAGACCCAAAATTTGGTCTGATTGGCTGGTCCCAGGGACAGCCAGAGTAGCAGCTGGTGGATGGTTCTGGGGGCTACAGGAACGGTTGGCCCTATGGACAGACTGAGCAGTAGCCAGTGGAGCTGGCCCGGTATCCCCTGCCCCCTGAGCAGCAGTCCCCCAAAACTCCCTAGAGCAGTAGCCCTAATGAAGATGATTAGGCAGGGATATTTATAGTATAAGTCATAGTAAAAATACCCATAACTAAATCACAGCCTTATCGATTTACAGGCAGTCTTCGACTTACGCGGATCCGACTTATGTCAGATCCGCACTTACGAACGGGGCTTTCTCGCCCCGGAGGTCGAGGTGGCGGATTGCTACCTGCAAGCTCCGGGGCGAGAGAGCCCCATTCGTAAGCTGCTCCCGGTGCCCCTGGTCTGCTGGAGACCGTCTCCAGCAGACCAGGGGCACCAGGCGGGTTCTCGCGCTTCTGAGGCTTTGCCAGAGCAAAGCCTCAGAGGCGAGGGCAACCTCCGCGCGCGC